GTGAATGTGTTTATGTTAGTAAGGCTGCAGTTGTAGTCCTGCTTAGCTGGGAGTAAGCCCCATTGAATTCAATAGGACTTTCTCCTGAGTAGACATGGTTAGGGTTGTGCTGCAAATCCTCTCTTATATTCCTACCTTTCGGACCCTAAAAAAAAAAGAAAGAAGCATGGACCTGCACTGCCATTCTACAATGCTATTTTTTGTAACCTGACCAAAGACCATTTGGTGACAGCTGAGCTATAAGTAATTATAAATAAATAAATAATAGACTGAGAGTTTGATAGTATGTAAGTATGCTGTTAAATGTAAAGGTTTAATTTAAAAGGCAATGTTCTCAAGTCAGATGGGCGGGGTATAAATAATAAAATTATTATTATTATGCAATAGGATGTCCCTATTTTCATCGGTGAAATTTTGGAGAGTTTGGCATTGGTCCACCTAGCTCAATATCTCCTACACTGACTTGCAGTGGAATCACTCTATTGCTAATGCTTGATTGTTAAAAAAAAAAAACTTATTGAAGCTGTCTACAAAAGATTAAAACAATGAAATTGTCAGTAAAAACTACTATTTAAGATACTCGAAAAATAATTAAAATAAGCAAGAAGCTAAAAAACAGATTAAAATGCACCAACATTGTATGTGTCTGCAAAGGCTTGCCTGCACTAAACTGGTTTTAGCAGGCACCCAAAAGAGTACAGTGAAGGTGTCTGTAGGAAGAGAGTTCTAAAGCATAGGTAATGAAACACGAAAACATTTCTTGCAGTCCATGGGACTCTCAAGAGTCTCCTCCAGCACCATAATTCAAAAGCATCAGTTCTTCGGCGATCAGCCTTCTTTATGGTCCAGCTCTCACTTCCATACATCACTACTGGGAAAACCATAGCTTTTACTATACAGACCTTTGTTGGCAAGGTGATGTCTCTACTTTTTAAGATTTCCCAAACTACAGCTCCCATAATTCTTTGGGGGAATCCAGGACAGTTTAAAGTGGCAATAGCTCCCTTGCGGCTGGTGGCAGGATGCCTGCTTGTTTCAGCTACTTCAGGGAGTTGCAAAGTATAATGGTTTGTTTGGTCAATGTGTTGAGCATCCCTTCCCGGACTGGATTAACTATGGTCATATTCACACAATACATTTTAAGCACTCCTGTGTCACTTTAAGAGTCCTTGCTTCCCCCAAAGAATCCTGGGAACTGTAGTTTGTTAAAGGTGCTGGTAATTGTAGCTCTGTGACAAGTTTTCTAACAACTCTCAGCACCTTTAACAAACTATAATTCCTGGGGTTCTTTGGAGGAAGTCAGGACAGTTTAAGGTGACATCATAATGCTTTCAATTTATTGTGCAAATGAAACCAAAATTTCACTGGGATTTTTTTAAAGCATTGATCTCTTTGTTGTGATGTTGTCTTTTTCTACCATACGGTGGTTTGGATTGGTATTCTACAATGTCTTGATCTTGTTATATTTAATGATTTTGCAGAAGATTTTTGTTTTGTTTTGGGGGTGTACTTTGAAATGAAAGCTGCTTTGTGATTTTTGGTTGACATTTGAAGGCAGGCAGGGTACAAACCTTCCATGATTGCTCAAGGTCCACTCAGATGCAGTGGGGCTATTTAAAATCAGAGTTGGTTCACACATTCAAATCAGAGACTGTGCCAGGAGCTGAGATCTTTGAACACTGTCCCAAAAGCCCTCTAGCCATCGCAGCTTCTCATGGTGCCACAGAGAGTCCCGACTTCATGAGAGGCCTTCCCTCCAAATAGTGTTTTAACATGTTACTGGGAGTTCAGATCTGTGCATCTTTCTAACACACTTCTTAGAGCTATGCCTCCCATTCCTCCCCCCCCCCCAGATATGCCACTTCCTGTTTTTATGAAAACAAGATCAGGTTCACATTAATGCTCCTAAGAAAGCCTTGGTTCCAGCTTGCTTCATTCAGCGACTACTTCCCTGCCCTGGCCAAGGAGGAGGAGGAGGAGGTGTGGGGGGGGCGGTGGGACGACCCCATTTTTATCAGAGGTATGTTGGAGGATATGGTAGAGTACACGACTGATGCCTGTCCCAGGACCACCAGTACACATTTTTTTCCTGTCACTCACTTACTGTATTTTTCACTCCATAAGACGCCTGACCATAAGAGGCACCTAGTTTTTAGAGGAGGAAAGGGGGGAAAGCCCCGTTTTTGAGGGGATCAGCTCAAAGTTGTGCAGCTTCTTTTGCAAAGGGGAAAAGCCCCTTTCTTGAGGATCAGCTCAAAGTTGTTGAGCTTACTTTGCAAAGGGAAAAAATCCTGTTTTTATGGGGTTCAACTCACAGTTCTGCAGCTTCTTTAGGAAAGGAAAGCGGGCCATTTCTACAGTTTCCAGACAGATAATCTAATCAGCCAGTCACATGTCGCTGGGGAAACAAACGGCCCCGTCTGCAGAACATTCAAAAATGGATGCCTGGGCAAGGGGGCGGGGCCAGAAAGGGAGCCAGCGATCGACCACAAATTCGCTCCATAGTACGCACAGACATTTCCCCTTACTTTTTAGGAAGAAAAAAGTGTGTCTTATGGAGCGAAAAATACGGTAACTCCCCTACTCCAGCAGCACCAGGCACCTGAATCTAGCTGCCATTTTCATTTCCCATAATGCCTCTGATGTAATGTCACTCTGGGGCATTGTGGGAAATTAGAATGGTGCCCCTCAGCCACTCAGAGTGTGCCTGCCTGCTTCTAGTCTTCAGCACTGCCAGGTAAGCCCTCCGTGACTGATGGATCCTGAGCTCTCCGCTTTGCCCAGGGCCTGTTTGTTTGTTTGTTTGTTTATGTGCTGGAAACTGAATGCATTTGAAGTCTGAGAATGGAAACATGGTTAACAGAATGAATGTCCTTTGCGGTTAGCAGGGTGGGAAGGGAATAAATGGAGACCTGGAGAAATTTGAGGAGACCTGGCAAGGTGTTTTTGAAATATGTGAATAATGACATACAGGATACATGGAGAAAGAAAGAGGGACATGAAATGTAGGCTGTGAGAGTTGCAGCCGACTATGATTGCAGATATGTATGTGATAGTGGGAAAAGGTTGGGGAGCCAAAGGAGGTTACAATGATAGCTGAGCATGCTATGAAATACCAGTTGCTGGGAGCAACATCGGGGACCAGGGATGCGGGAGAAATCCAATCTCGTTTGCCTTTTAATTTGCACTTTTTGAAGCAGTATGTGAACCAAAACAGAGTTATTTTTCAAAATTAGCACTGCTCTGAATTTTACAGTCCAGCTCTCCACTCAACAATCACATACAGTGGTGCCCCGCAAGACGAACGCCTCACAAGACGGAAAACCCGCTAGACGAAAGGGTTTTCCGTTTTGGAGGCGCTTCGCAAAACGAATTTCCCTATGGGCTTCCTTCGCAAGACGAAAGCCCATAGGGAAATCTCCGGGACAGCGGGGAAGCGCAGCGCGTCTTCCCCACTGTCCTCGGACTTCCTCCGAAGGCTGGCGGTGGGGCAGAGAGACCTCCTCCCGCCGCCAGGCTTCGGAAGGCTGCTCTGAAGGCTGGCGGTGGGGCGGAGTGACCTCCTCCCGCTGCCAGCCTTCGGAAGGATGCTCCGAAGCCTGGCGGTGGGGCGGAGAGACCTCCTCCCACCGCCAGCCTTCGGAAGGCTGCTCCGAAGCCTGGCGGTGGGGCGGAGAGACCTCCTCCCGCCGCCAGGCTTCGGAAGGCTCCTCCGAAGGCTGGCGGTGGGGCAGAGAGACCTTCTCCCCGCGCCAGCCTTCGGATGGCTGTCCTGAAGACTTGCGGTGGGAGGAGAGTTTTCCTTCCCACCGCCAACATTCAGAATGCTGTTCTGAATGTTGGCGGTGGGGAGGAAAAACCCTCCTCCCACCGCAAGCCCCGGGAACAGAGGAGAAGCGCTGCGCCCCTTCCCCTCTGTTCCCGTACCTGTCCTGAAGGCTTGCGGTGGGGAGAAAAGCCCTTCTCCGCACCGCCAGCCTGGCAAGCGGTTTCCATAGGAACGCATTAATTGATTTTCAATGCATTCCTATGGGAAACCGTGCTTCGCAAGATGAAAAACTCGCAAGAAGAAAAAACTTGCGGAACGAATTAATTTTGTCTTGCGAGGCACCACTGTATTATGAGCAAGTGTATGTAAATATGTGCTTGCTAGGCACATTATATTTGGGGAAATGGGTTGAGAAAATATCTATCCCACTCAAAACTGCATGCAAAAATGTGTATATTTGGAGAAAATCACACAAAATTGCTGATGAATTTTTGGGCCACAATTTTTGAATCTCAGATTGCTGCTGAAATTTGCTCATCCAAGACTTGAACTGGTTGGCTGTGATTTCGCCCAGCACCTTCTTTACTGCCTCTTTTGAAAAGCTTCCAAAGAATTAACCCCCCCCCCCATATAAGTTATTTGTAAATGCAGAGCTGAATTAAAAATTTGGGGTGTGTGGGGAGAAACTGAGGGAAACTGAAAATGATTGATAAGGTAATTGGGCCGGATCCGGCCCCTGGGCCTTAGTTTGCCTACCCATGGGATAGGCCTTTGGCCTGATCTAGTGGGGTTTTTCTTAACACTCTTATGGGAGGAAGAGTAAAATAATATTTTTTCCTGTTGTAAATTGGGGAGGGGATAGGAAGGAACAAGCAACCACTTCATTTAAAAAGAAAGAAAAATGTGAGTCTATCCCTTTGACTTACCCCCACAAGAAGCTTAGCTTTCATTGTGGCCGCTGCTCAGTTTTAAAAACCTATCGCTTAATTAATTGTCTGAGTGTTAATCAATCAATCAATTAAATCTGCATACATTTGCAAATAATGGGGGTTGAGTGGGAGAGAACAGTAGTTCCTAAAGAAAAACCCGGGTTTTCGTTGGGTTGGAACCTGGCTGGGTTGAATGTAGTTTCCTTTGAATTCAATGGGTCTTAAGACATGACTCATTTGTCCCATTGATGTCAATGGGGGTCTAAGTCCAGCTTTAAAGTCTGCCTCTTTTCTCTCCACAGACACATAGAATTTTGGAAGAATTTGCAGACACTGAATGCCGTAGATATGGAGCTGTACACAGGACTCCAGAGACTGTGAGTATGTTTGAAAAACTCCCTTCCCTATGGACACTCTTGGGCATTAAGATCAGCAGAGGGGGACCTCAGGGCCATTCCAGAGCCCTCTGAAGTTTGGGGTTGGCAGCCCACTAAGTTGTGGAATTGCCTGTCAAAGAGGTGTGCCTGGCACCTTCATTGTATCGTTTTCATTGTACCCTGAATATACACCTCTTTACACTGGGCTTTTGAGACGCATATGTGTCTCAGTTACATTGGCAAAGAAAAATTGCTTTATATACGTTGTTTATGCATTCAAACACTGCGACACCAGATGGCGCTGTGGAGTTCCATTTTTGCTAACCCGATTTCTCATACAAAGTTTGCAATGCTGCTTTGATATGTCTAGATCTAGCCTGTGTATCTGTGTTTGCACCAGTGCCGGATTACCAAATAGACAGAGTTGGCACTGGATCAAAATAATATCAATCAATCAACCTTTATTACAGTCCAGAGACCCAACAAATTGTTACAAAGCAATACACAATTCATACAGCCTACCTCCAGGTTAAACAAGCATTTTGTTCAGAATATAGAGATCATTGGTTCTTGCAACCACCGATAAGAACTTTGCCCCTGCTAATGTTCTAGCATTTGTCCGGTCTTCCAATAGGAACCTGACATAGTCAGCCTCTGATTTTCCCGGGAAAGGTACCAGCAAGGGTAATATCAGTTCAGCCCTGGCTTGCTCATATTTTGCACAGTGCAACAGAATATGTTTTATGGAATCGATGTCTCGAGCACACGAGCAAAGTCTGTCGTGGTAGGGAACTCCTCTCAACCTGCCATCCAACACTGCAGAAGGAAAGACGTTTAGTCTGGCTTTGGTGAAAAGCCTTCGATAATTTGGTACTGTCAGGTTTTTAATGTAAGATGTTAACTTAAAGACATGCCCATATTGTACTCCTACTGCCAGCGGACTACAGACTTCGTGTGATTGAGATCGCAAGTCACTGTGTGCATTATCCCATAATCTTTGCTCTAATAATATTGATTTGATATTGAAATAAAATTGGTTTATTAAAATTGTTGGTTGGTACAGGTGTTTGTGGCAATGATGTGGGAGAGTAGAAGAACATGCTTTATTTTATTTTATTTTATTTCATTATTTTATTTTATTTTATTTTATTTTTCTGCCCACTTGTGCTTCAATCTAACCCTTAGGGTGAAATAGGTTCCCCACCCCTGAACTAAATGACACCTGTTCTAAAAATACCTTTTGCTTACAAAAACCCTCCCATAGCTGCCATCTGATCACAGGTCAGCAGAAAGGAGGAGGCTCTGCTGAGCTTCCCTGAAACTTAACCTTGGTAAGCAACTGTCTTCCTAAGGAATTCTCTATGTAAGCATCTGAAATTGCTTGTTCAGATCTTGTCCAGATTTAGTGCTGGCGTGTTGTGGTGGGCTTCTGCTTGCTTTGACTGACTCAGCTCCTTCATGAGTGGAAAAAAAGGGATCCTTCTTGAATGCTCTTGTGCTGGGACCATACGTGTTGCTTTGGGGAGCAGCCAGAATTAGAAAGCAGGTCAGGAGACTCCTGGTTCTGCACCCCCATGTCCCTGGCCCAAAGGTAAAGGTACCCCTGACCATTAGGTCTAGTCGCAGACGACTCTGGGGTTGCGCACTCATCTCGCTCTACAGGCCAAGGGAGCCAGCGTTTGTCCACAGACAGCTTCCGGGTCATGTGGCCAGCATGACTAAGCCGCTTCTGGCGAACCAGGGCAGTGCACGGAAACACTGGTTACCTTCCCGCCGGAGCGGTACCTATTTACCTACTTTCACTTGACGTGCTCTCAAACTGCTAGGTTGGCAGGAGCAGGGACCGAGCAACTGGAGCTCACTCCGTCACGGGGATTTGAACCGCCGACCTTCTGATCAGCAAGCCCTAGGCTCTGTGGTTTAGACCACAGTGCCACCCGCATCCCATGGCCCAAAGGTACTGTCCCTCTATTTGAAGGGCTGTCCAGTCCAAGTCAGGTGTAAAGACAAAGAGCCTTTTAAGGAGGGGCCTTGAAGTCGATGGGACCCAGAATGGTCAAACAGTCACCTTTCACAGTTCCTCTTCCCAGGGAACTCTGGGAACTGTAGTTCTGAGAGGGAGATAAGAGCCTCCTAACATCTCTCAGCATCCTCAACAACTACAGCTCCCGGAATTATTTGGGTGAAGCCATGGCTGTGTTTAAAATGGTATCACAGTGCTTTAAATACAGTCCGTACCTTGGCTTTCGGACAGCTTAGTTCTCGAACGTTTTGGCTCCTGAACGCCGCAAACCTGGAAGTGAGTGTTCCGATTTGCGAACTATTTTTGGAAGCCAAAAGGACGACGGGTCTTCCGATTGGCTGCAGGAGCTTCCTGCAGCCAATCAGAAGCCATGCTTTGGTTTCCGAACATTTTGGAAGTCAAATGGACTCCGTTCGACTTCCAAGGTATGACTGTATAAGGCAAGAATGGGGCCTCAGTCACCTTTCCCTGACTTCTTCTGGTTTCCAGGCCTTCCCTGCTTGTCTCATAATTTCTTCTTTCAAATGGGCATGGCATGTTCCTGTCTACCTCCTCAAGATGAGCACAGGGCTTTGACCACCTCGCTATTGCTGACCTTTTCCATTTCTTTTCAGGACAATCATGGACTCTGGACTCCGGAGCATCCAGCCTCGAGCATTTGATAAAAACCCCCACCTGCACTACATGTGAGTAGGTTTGCTTTGCTTCCCTCCTTCAACCCCCTGACCGTCCCATCTCTGCATGCTCCCTGCCGTGCTGTGCAATTGCTTTTTTTGGGGGGGGGTGTTTCTTCTCCACACAGTTGCTTGAGGACAGACAAGTCAGAGGAGCAGGGTAGAAGCAAAGAGGGGGGGGCAGGCGAAAGGATGGGAGGCAAAGGGAGGAAGAAAAAGGAGGAAATCAAAGGGGTCAGAGAAAGGAGAGCCTCAAACAATTCTTTCCCCATGGGCAGCTGGCAGATTTAGGTGTCTTAATAACCAAAGCAACTTTGATTGCGGCACTAATGAGCGATTCCTCATTAACACCCATTAGGTGGTCAGTAGAAAGTTTCCCTTTCAGCATGAGGTTCGGGGGCGGGAGGGGGGGGAGATACCATTGGGGGTGGGTGGATAGGGGGGAGACTGGGCCAAGGTGCTTGTATCAGTGTGGCATTTGCGACGCAGCCTCAAACCGTTCTCATTAACACATAACGAACGGGAGACGCAAGGCAATATCTGTTTTTCCTCCCTGCTGTCATACCTCAGGCACATGGCTGACAGCTTGCGCTCTTAATTACTGACTCGTTAGAAAAGCATATGAGCCGGGACCAAGCGATGATACAGGGGCTTTTTGACAGTGTAAGGCTAAGCTGGAAGGCATCTTGAAAACGGAAGGAGCTGGGACCACAAACAAGGGCTATATGCGTGGTATTCAGTCTCTGGAAGTGAGACATGTCTGTGGAGTACTGGATGAAGCGGGTCAACTGGGTGGAATGACTGTTGTTCTAGATATATTCTACACTGTTTTTTTATTAGAACGGTTGGTTCTGGTGGAATCCACTCCCCGCCCCCCATCCCCAGTATGGGTGCTTGAGAAATTTGATTTCTGTGGATTTTGATGCAAACTGACTTTGGTCTGTACCTCCTGGACTAATGCATGGATTGGAATATAGTTATGCATTGGATTTCATGCTTTTCTGAAATTCACAATGTGGTTCTTGACTTATAAAAAATGGGTGGGGCTGAACTGCTTTGAAATGCGAATTTAAATACAAATTATGTTTATAAAGGCATATGCTAGGGTAAAATTAAATGTTTAAGTTTCATGCATTTTTAAAAAATACTGCAAGAAGTGGGTGAAACAGGCTTATGAAGGAACATACGGAAAAAATGGAATAGGCTAGAAAAAGATTGATCCATATCCCTACCTGAAGAGCACTTTGAGAGAATATTCAGTTTTGACAAATCCTGTTGGTACCATTGTTTTCCCCTTCTCACTGCTGCTTCCTGTTCCGTGATTTAGTCACATGGATAGTGTAATCAAACAAGGACTATGTGGTGATGGCCCAACACGACAGAGCCAAATGGAATAGGGGTGATGAAATGGGAATGTCAAGAAGCAAGTGGGCATTTTGATGAGAAATGCTGAAAAATTACTGAAAATCAGAAAGGGGTGGGCAGGCAGAATTGAAAGCATCAAACAGCTCTTCTGATAAGTTTCTTCTGGATCCTGGAAGGATGCAGCTGATCACTAAAACCATATGCTTATTACAGTGACTAACAAAACAGAAATTCTGATTGTCATAGCAAAACATTTGGGCCTCTGCCTTCATCAGTTGCTATGATAAAAATGATGTTGTTTCCAAGGTGGCCGTTATAGAGCTTTGAAGAGGGGATGTTCAGAAGGAATCCATTTGCTGAAGCTAAGTGATGTTGGTACTACCTTCCAGGTTGAGGCCATGTGGTGTTAATGTGCCCAGGATATACATCCAGAAATTCTCCTCCTACTCCTTCTCCTTTCCCCCCCCTAACATTATTTGATCTGTTGACATCTCCATTGCAATTATTGCAAAGTCCAGCAAGCTGTGATTCTCCAAGTGTAAATGTTTAGCAACAGGCTGCGTCACTTTTGTTTTCTTTTTCTTTTGATCAGAATTGCCAATTTGCGGTATTTATATATAAGTAATATTGCACTGCCAACAATTTGGAAAACAGCTGAAACGGTTTTGACTCAGCTCTACCATGCTTCAGTGCTAAGTTTATACAGTCGTTTCTTTCCAGGCATTCTGGTCTCTGGATTCTGTTGCCAGGAATGCCTATCCCACACACTTCGGAAATGCTGTGAACGTTCTTCTTTTTATTTTATTTTTTAAAACGAATGCATAATTGTATCCCTGAATGGTTTTACCCAAAGTATGTGTGCAGAAGGTCAAATCTGTTGCTGAACGTCTCTCTTTCACCACTTCTGTGGGAGTGTGCAAGCATTAGCCGCATTTGTGCAAGCGTTCACTGTAGAAGAATCACAGAGGACTAGAAGACTGCAGCCAATAATTTTGGAGGCTAAATTCCAATCTGCACAACTCTTCCTTTCCCCAGCTACTTTAACTCCTCCTCCCTCTCCTCCACCTTCTGATAAGTCCTGTCTATTACCTTGCCAACAAAGGTCCGTATAGTTAAAGCTATGGTTTTCCCAGTAGTGATGTATGGAAGTGAGAGCTGGACCATAAAGGAGGCTGATCACCGAAGAATTGATGCTTTTGAATTATGGTGCTGGAGGAGACACTTGAGAGTTACATGGACTGCAAGAAGATCAAACCTATCCATTCTTAAGGAAATCAGCCCTGAGTGCTCCTTGGAAGGACAGATCCTGAAGCTGAGGCTCCAATACTTTAGCCACCTCATGAGAAGAGAAGACTCCCTGGAAAAGACCCTGATGTTGGGAAAGATGGAGGGCACAAGGAGAAGGGGATGACAGAGGATGAGATGGTTGGACAGTGTTCTCAAAGCTACCAGCATGAGTTTGACCAAACTGTGGGAGGCAGTGGAAGACAGGAGGGGCTGGCGTGCTCTGGTCCATGGGGTCATGAAGAGTCAGACATGACTAAATGACTAAACAACAACAACAACATTGTCCCATTGGCTTTTTCTTACACATGCACTCCCCTCCCTCTCTTCTGTACTTTATCTCATTTTCTAAGCGACCTCACAAGAAGAGACCTGCCAGGTCAAAGGGAGCAGTGGAGTGCAGATCCCCCAGTGTTATCTATGGTGTATGTCTAGGTGTGTGCATCTCCTACCTGAAAATTCAAGCCTGCCACCTGGAAGGGTCCAGGCAAATCTGGAGACTTTAAGTCAGCCCTGTAGGTTTGGCAGCTCCATATCAAATACATGTAGGTTAATGGTAGAACATATGCTTTGCATGCAGAAGGTCTCAGGTTCAATCCCTAGCATCTCCAGCATTAACTTGGAAACATCCCTGGTCTGAAACCCTGGAGAGTTTCTGCTAGTCAGTGTAGACAGCATTGAGCCAGATGGACCAATGGTCTGGCTCAGTATAAGTTATTTGTTTCGTAAAATTTATATACTGCTTATATACAGCAGTTTACAAAAAAGCACAAGGCACCCCTCCACCCTTGCAACAATCTAGTTTAGCACCCTGTTTTCCACAACACCAAGCAGATATCTCTGGGAGGTCCATAAGCAAGACAGGAAGGCAACCGCCTCCTCCCCTTTTGCCACCTAGCTACTCTGAGAGCTTCCCAGAGGTAGCAGTTGGCCACTGGGAAGACAGAGGATCCTGGTCTAGATATGACTTTGGTTGGCTCCAACAGGGATCTTCTTGTCTTATATTACTAGGAGAGGGTAAAGCATGTTGGAAAGACAAACCCATGGAAGATAACACTGTTGATGACTAAACCTCAATCTAACCATATTGGGAGACTCAGGAGGATTGAGGGGAGGAGCTACTGCCTGTAGGCACCTGCCACCTAAGGCAGCTGCCTCACTTTGCCTAATGGTAGGGCCAGTGGGATTTCCAAGCAAACACCCATAAGATTGGACTTCAGAAAGGGAGGTTCAAAACAGTCAAATGTTGTTGAGCTCAGGTCCTGCTTACAGGCTTCCTGTGGGCATGTGATTGGCAAGATGCTGGACTAGACAGGCCTTTGGAATGATCTGTCAGGGCTTTTCTGATGTTCTTAGTCCTTGCTTTCAAGCTCCTCTGTTAGACATTTGGCCTTGCCTTCAGCTCCTTATCCTTTCGTAGGCCCAATTAAGCTGGGGGAGGAAGCAGAAAGAGAATGCTTTTTGGTTTTTCAATATCTTGTTGCTTCTTCCCTTCTTCCCAAGCCCTTTGGAATTCATGGCTCATTTTCTCTGCATGTGCAGAAAAACTCTCCAGATGTCTTAGACCTTCACCCCTCCTTGTTCAGTTCCCAATTGATTATTCCCACTCCTCTGGAATTAATTGTTCTTATTCCCCCCTTGGAATTAATTGGGTTTTTTCCTCCCACTCCACAATTCTCTTGAGGGGTTTGTTGCTCTTTCCCTCCCTACAACTGGTCCAATAATATTGATCTTTTTTTCCTTACTGATGCTTCCTGGGCCACCATCCCCTATTCCCCGCCCCCCCATCCCAAGTGACACATGCCCTGTTTTGTGGATGCTGAGGCTTCCTTGTGCACAATACAATATAATGTCCCAGCTTTATCAGTTAGATCATGGAGAACAGAATGTGTTGATTCTGAAGGTGAACTGAAAATGGCTCCCGACTTTTATTGATGCCATGCCTACCTTTGCCCTTTAGCAAAGAAATGAAAGAAAAGGGGGAAAGTGGCTCTCAGAGTAGCTTACAAAAATCACTCTTACAGCAGTCCTTGCTCTCAGGCTTATAATCTAAAAAGTCATGGCACACAAGGAAAAAGGGATGGGGGGGAGGAGGGAAAAGCAAGCTCAAGTCCTTAAAGCTACAGCTCTTAAATTTGAAGTGGATGTCAGTGGTGGTTTTGGCTGTCTTGTCCTTGATAAAGACTGCCCCAACCCAGAAGCAATCTTCTGCCCCCTTCATGCACCTCCCGTCCCAGATCAGATCCAGGAGCAGAGCAGGTGAAAATGTTCAGGTCAGGAAAGCAAGGCAGCTCGTGCCACACAGCCTGAGTCTGCCTTCAAGTACCAGCCTCTGTCAATCACAAGTGGGGATGCAGTTGCTG